TTATTTTTTTTTTGAATTTGATGGAGTGTGGCTATAATGATGGGGTCTGCAGAGACCTATACACTGCACACGTGCAGTTCTATATATGCAACCCTACTCTAGAGAGAGAACTAAGTGCAGAGAGATTGGTTTTGGTCTCTTTCAGTTTAATCAGTGGTCTCGTGTTCGAGCCCCTAGGAATGCAGCAGTGTTAAAACTCTTGAAAGAGAGCTTTGCCGCCCTTGTGGTCCTATCCGGCTCGATTCTGGATTAGTCGGTTCTCATGTAGATTCGGAAACCGAAAGGTCCCTGTACCAAAAAAAGAGAAAGAGAGAGAGAGAGAGATTTTTATAATAAAAAATAATTATTTATTTTTATTTTCATTCGTTTTGTCTTTGGTAGGAGAAATAAATGAGGATGGGAGAGAGCCAAGGAGAGTGGATGTGGTTAATAATACTCTAGTAATTAATATATGTGATAAGAGTGAAGAAAAAAGTTATGAAAATTAAAATTAAATAAAAAAAAAAAACAAAAAAAAGATGGTGAAAGTAAAGGTGAGCAAGAGTTTGTATGTATATGATTTTGCAGCTCATAAATAGGAGGCCAAATTTGGTGCAACAACTGCCACACGCTTCTATCGATTTTTGTCTTTCACCTCCGTTTCTCACTCGCAACACTCAACTCCAGAACACTTTTGTGTCACATTGTAGTTAGACGTGTCCACAGGCCGAATCGGCCCGAAATCATCCTCCGAAGGACTGGTTCCTTGAACCGGACCTGTAGAGTTGCAGTTCGGTCCCGATTCATAATTTTTTAGTTTTTGACCCACCGGGTCGGGTCGCAGGTCACAATGCCTTATTTTTGTTTTTTAAGGGACGTATCGGCCCGGAACCGTCCGAGACCTGCCGGGCCAGTTCATAAAACCGGCCCATAGATTTTTCCGGGCCGGTCACGGGCCATAATATTGAGGCCCATCGACCCGGCGGGCTGGGCCGGGCCGGGTCGTGGTCCGACAGTTGGTCACCTCTAATTGTAGTTGTAAGAAAAAAATTACTTTATTTTAACGGTGTATTTTTCGTCAAATAAATGACTTATAATAAAATTTTTGATAAACTAATATATAAGGTGAATGAAAAATTAACTTTGCAAAATTGAAATATGAAAAAGATTAGCTTAAATATTTCAGAGATTGTTGGATTAGCACATGTTTAGTCTTCAATGAATGTTCGAGCAAGCTAAACAAGTTACATCATGCCCTAGTCGTGTTAGAACTCTAATATATGGTTGGATTAGCACATGTTTAGTCTTCAATGAATGTTCGAGCAAGCTAAACAAGTAACTCTCAAGAAAGAAAATATTCTTATTTCACAAACTTACCCATTCTCCATAATGAAGGAGAAGCCAATAAATAGAATCTCATAAAACCCTTATTAAATAACTTACTAACAAGAAAAGGAGTAGGCTAAATAAATAAATATTAACCTACCAAATGTTTGTTACGTTTTTGTGGTGATTTTCGTGTGTTTTATGTGTTTAGTCGAGTATTCAGGTTAGTTTTAGTGTTAATCAGCCCATTTTATCGTGTTTCATGCATTTTTTGCTTTCGTCTTGTGCTATTGTGTTTTGGCGTACTTTCTCGTATCTTTTGGTTGTGTTTAGGTCCATTATACAAAAGTCAGGGAGGACAAGCCGTCTGAGCCATCCGAGTCTTTGTCGAGCCATCTCTTTGTCAAGCCATCCAAGCCATCTGAAAGAGAATTAGATAATCCTCAAGACATTTGTCACACACGCTGCGACCGAGCACCCGCGAGCTTGCGAGACATCTTATGAGGCCGCACGCGAGGCACTCGCCGAGAGACCCCATTTGCAAGACCGCGAGATGTCAGGCAACCGAGAGACACTCACCAAGAGAAACCATTCGCGAGACTGCGAGATGTCCAGGCAGCTGAGAGACACTCATCGAAAACGCCCACTCGCAAGACCACGAGATGCCGAGCACAGCACGCCCGCACTCGCAGGGAAGTTCGGTTGACGACAGGGAGCACCCGCTCGAGACCCGAGCACACGTCATCCAACCAATTGGCAAACTAGATCCCCATCTCCCATTCAAATAAACGAGTGTTGACCGGCCACAACCCGTCAAAGAAGTGGAACTAGTTTGTATGGACGAGCCACTCTTTACCAATTACTTGCAAATCGGTAAATGAGTCGAAAAACACAACTGATACTAAGAATTGGGATGGATCTGACCGACGCCATGTTAGCATGCCCGCATATATTCTAAAATTACCCCTGACAACAAAAATTGGAGACCTGAAAGCACTGAGGCTTTGAATGTTGCAATGCATTCGGGAGGCGGGAAATGTATTCTTTATTGCTTTTACGCAACGAACAATTGGATTACAATTTTGCTGTGAAACCAACAGTTGGCTCCATAGTGGAGCCAACCTTTTATATACAACAAGTAAATCATACTATATTCTCTGATCACTAAAATAAATACTTAATTTTATTAATATGATATGATTTTCTTGTTGTATATAGAAGGTTGACTCCACTATGTAGCCAATTGTTGGCATCATAGCAAAACTGAATTTGATCAAAGATGGGATTTCCAACTGCTTGCTCCCTCAACCTGACGATGTCGACAACATTCAAAGCATTGCCCTTCAGACCAGTTCCATCTCACTCGGCCTGTCCAACTCCTTGCGTGTTGGCTTCAAAGCATTGCCCTTCAGACCAGTTCCATCTCACTCGGCCTGTCCAACTCCTCGCGTGTTGGCCGCCAGAAGCAACACCCACATTTGTCCTCATGCTTGCAGTGTCCTCAGACTTAGTGTCCACATTTGTCTTCAATCATCGAACAACTGTGAATTGTGACTCGGCTTGTAAAATAGTGAAACGTCGTGTTAATTTTGGTAGTCATTAACTAAATTGCAAAAAGAATAAAAACTAGGGTGATACTTGGAAAAAGTTGGACTAACTTATTTTTTTTTTATGCCGGAACGCACAAAATTCGCCCCTCTGAATTTTGTGGTCATAAAGCGACAGCCACACGACCCTCAAGAGACCGATCGAGTAGCAAGGAAACATCCGAATGAAATCTGGAATAATTTCAGAAAATCGAACAAATATTCCACGTACAAAATTACTCATTCATGTTGTTATGGACATTTTGCGAGGTAAATTTTCGTGTCTAACCGTTAAGTGGATCAATTAATATTATTTATACTGTTTTTTTTAAAGTATGACATTAATGTTTATCTTACTGAGGTAAATTTTCATTTTTAGACTAGTATATATTTTTATTTTGATTATTTCATGTAAATTTGTAACTAGTGTTTTTTTATCCATAATATTTCAAATGTCAAGGTTTTACTTCTGTCTTTATTTATGTTTGGCACTTTTTAGTGAGGGCCGGGTAGTGATGGGGAGTCCTCACAAGTCACGGAAGGTGTGTATTTTGAGATGTTCACCTAAGTCATTTCGTTATACAATTTTGGTACTTTTCACCCTTTCCTCCCAATTATTTCAAGACAAGTACAATTAATACTGTTCGGTTTGGACTTTTCCAACTTGGGAAAATCTTGCAAACCAATATTACAAGTTACCAATTTTGCTATAAAGCAAAATATCCACAATTATTCACAAAAATGTTGGATTGACAGTTCGTATCCTACAATTAGTGCTCGGCTCGGCTCGATAAGACTCGAAAAGAGAATTTTTATATAATTTTTTATAGTTCGTCTTGTTAAAGCTCGAGATCGACTCGTTAAAGATCGGGCTCGAGACTTTAACGAGCCGAGATCAAGCTCGATTTTTGGCTCGTTTATTTAACGAGTCGAGCTCAGCTCGGATCGACTCGTTTACAGCCCAACTTATAATACACTCTGAACATGTGTCAATCAATTTTGCTATAAAGGAAATCAACACAATTATTTACAAATATTGTATTGACACGTGTCATATAATAAATACACTTTGAAGGAGAAAGGGTCATCCTGCCTCCATAGCCTCCATAGAATTTATAGTTAAGTATAAGTTATAGGGAAATGCTATGGTCCCGTTACGGTACCATCCCGTCGGTTGTTTTAACCGTTGAATACACATGTAGTTAGTATAAGATAGATGATTCAACGGCTAAAACATTCGACGGGATGTACCTTAACGGGATTGTACCATTTCATAATTTATAATCAAATGATTTGGAGAAAACCCAAATCAACCCAAAAAAAAAAAAAAGTAAAGGAGGTGATTAATTTCCATGGGACTCTTTTTGTTTGAGCCTGACAGATGAAGCTACTTGTCCGAATGCCTCCAGCCAAATTTAAACCAAACCTTCCAGCTTATAATTGAGCTGGAGATGGCAAATCCATAAGAAGTGCTTTGAATCTAACTCTACTTCTGAATAATTCATGCCCATTTTGAATAAATTTATGTCCATTTGAAGATTTATACTTTTAGAATTATAATATACTATTTAACTTAAATTATAAATAATTTTAAAGATTTAACCATTTTTTGTTTACTATTAGTTTATCATAATTTATTAAATCAATTATCTTTTGACTATTGTCAATCTCAACATATCAATCTTAACAAATAAAAATTAAATCATCTATCCATCCTAATAAAAATTAACAAAATTATTATTTGTGAGTTAAAATAAATTCATTAATCAATCCTATTATAAAATATGAATTAAAAATTACTATAATATAAGGCGAGCAATCTTATAATGACAGGTGTCGTATTAAACAAAATGATCATGCAATTTTTTTTTTAAGAAATTTAGAAATTCAAGATAAAAACTTCAA